GTGGAGCTGGAAGCTGAGAACTGGCGACTTTCTAGTACAACTTTAGTGCGCGGAGCAATCTGTGCAGCTAGAAGCCGAGAACTGGCGACTTTGTAGTACAACTTTAGTACGCGGAGTATCTGTGGAGCTGGAAGCTGAGAACTGGCGACTTTCTAGTACAACTTTAGTACGCGGAGCAATCTGTAGAGCTGGAAGCTGAGAACTGGCGACTTTCAAGTACAACTTTACGCGGAGCATCTGGGGAGCTGGAAGATGAGAACTGACTGGCGACTTTCTAGTACAACTTTAGCACGCGGAACAACCTGTGGAGCTGGAAGCTGAGAACTGGCCACTTTGTAGTACAAGTGTAGTACGCGGAGGAGTCATCTCTCGCTGCTGAGTCAGCTCTCGCTGCTGTGAGTCATCTCTCGCGACTGAGTCATCTCTCGCTGCTCAATTATCTCTCGCTGCTGAGTCAGCTCTCGCTATAGCCATCTCTCGCGGCTGAGTCATCTCTCGCTGCTGAGTCATCTCTCGCGGCGTGCAGGTTTGGCACAGTTCATACTGATAGTATTTGGTTGCATTTATGCAGGACAGGACATTCAACTGCTGGTCAATACACCACTCATCATACACCACTCAGCATACACCACTCATCATACACCACTCGTCATACACCACTCATCATACACCACTCGTCATACACCCCTCTTGTCGTGGCAAAGATACAACCCAGTACGCTGTTGTGAGCTGCTGATCCTGCAGGGGGCACACACCTTACACACGTGGAATCCCGTGGGTTTGACTGGAGGACGCGCATGTTGGAGAGAACGTGGACACTCCTATAGGTCAATTTGTTCTTATAGGAAACTTCCGCCGCCGGCTTGCCCGGGAACTACTTGTACTAGTATGGTTTAATAATGTTTAATAAGTTGTTATAAGTTTCAGATGATTCCCCTTCATCCGTCTTCATTTAACACAATATATTGTATTCGCACTTTGCTCGTGATCAAGGAACCCGCGTGTCTCCAGGCTCTTCCCGCAGACTGCTGGCCACCCCCTGCAGGAGTTCTTGAATGTCCAATCCCTCCTTGCGTGTTGAGAGCGTGTTTGGTGGTTTTACACCAAAATGGCATGTTTAATAGAAGACTGTCCAGGGTTCAAGGCTTCACCATATCGGCTGTGCCAGAGCCATTTCATGTCCTCTTGTTTCTTGCAAAGGCACCCAGGGCATGACATCTTGAACCAGACCGTTATAGGGTGCAGCTCCAAAAAGGGATGTGAAAAAACGTCCAACACGGCGGCTGCAACACACTGGCGACAAGAAATTGAACACACACTCTTTTTAAATATCTTGAGATGTTCATCATGCAACCAAGTTTTATACCAGCCACACAATGTCCCTAGGTGTTGGGCCAGCATGCGGCGTGGAGGAAAGGCCGCCGGGTCGGGACGAGGGAGGTTGTTGTTGCCATGGGGGTATGGAGGTGTTGTTCCACAATTGCACCAGGATTTGCAGCTTCTGGCACACGCATCAAAGCCGCCACTCACATTGCACTTGGCAGCAGTACGCATCACCAGACAGAGCACAGCTCACCAGGATCCACTTCGTGACGTTCCACAACACTGCGCAGCTGCACCACCGTTCCCATCACAATGCTCTTCTCCATTTCGGGTCACCACACTACACATCACCACACCACATACTCACTGCACTCTACCACACCACTACTGTGGCAATACTCACAGCGGATCTTTCCAACAGGCTGTTTGAACTCACAGCAACTGTCCGTTTACGATGGCAGCAAGAAGAACATTTTGTATGCATGTAACTTTGCGAACGCGAAGGGAGTTGAATCCGGCCGGGTCCTGTTCGCAGAACTCATTGGCTCTGCCTTCGAAAAGCTCTCCTCGGCGCCAGCATGCATGGTTGATTTTCGGAGTCTTTCCGTGCAGCTAGTCCCTGAGCTATTGAAACTCCTAGAGACTTTCAACCCTATATACTTTGGGAACCACACAAACATTTTTTGAGAGTGATCTTCGTTGAACAACTTCAAATCAATTCTTATCCACGACGACGACGACGACGACGACGTCTTCAACCACAACAACAACAACAACTACAACTACAACTACAACAACAACAACAACAACAACAACAACTACTACTACTACTACTACTACTACTATATAGTAATTAGCCGTCCTAATGAATGGCCTAGATCAATTCTTGCACATTCCTACACCGTCTCTTCCTTTACCAATATTAGACCACGTTAGACATTTAGTAATCCCATCAATCGGCCGTTGTTCACTAAATTGGACAGGACTGAGGCGCTGTACTCTGCATGCAGCTGAGTGAACTCCAAGGGATGCTCCCAGCGGCTGGGCGCCTCGAAGGGGAACCTCACGATCGAGAAAGATCACTACCTCATCTCCCAGTTCCGATCAAAATCAAGATTAAAGTAATGGAGACATATGGAAACAAACAAAGAAGCAAAAAGTATGACTCAGTGACAAGAACATCATCAGACTGTGAGCCCTACTCTAGTGAATTTGTCTCTGTGACAGTGGGATTCCTCCCTTCAACATCCTTCAAAAGTGTGCGGCTTGAATTTGTGCTTTGACAAAGTAGCCCGTCCAAGGAATGCGAAGACTCTTGGGATGACAATATTTTGTGCTGGGCAGGAGCCTACCGCAGCTGACACTAATTAATCCGTGCGCCTGAAGAAATAGGGGCAGCGGAGAACTGCAGGGCGATCATGCAAATCATTAAAAATCAATCAAATCCACGGTTTGCCTATTGTTCAAGGCCTCCTCACAACTCTCAGTACAAATCCTAGCTCGCAAAATCCAGAGTCCCTCTTCACTGCGCGATCTGAGGGGCTTCATGCAATATTCCCACGCCCAGCAAGAGACCTCCAGCAGGAAGTCCTCGACCCAATGGTCCACTCAGGTTCCAAACACGAACCCAAAGCGCAACTTACATAAACATACCTTAACCATGACTCTGAAGGGGTCTATGTGTCGTGGCCGATATCATCTGTATGTTCTTGTGCTCTGAGTTTCAGGGTAGTTCTTATTCTTCTGCAACTGCTGTACTCCCGTGTATATATGTATATAGCAAGAATAGTGTCCACTTCTATGTTTGCGTCGAGGAGTGTATACTGTATCTCGGACGCTTCACTACTGGGTCAATGACCAGCTCTGAAAAAAGAAACACGTGAGTGGACCTGGATGAACCTGATATGGATTGGGCTAAGGCTAAGGTTGAGGCTGATTACATCACTGGTGGTGAACAAGACGAGGATCAATAAATCAGTATGCAAGTATAAATCAGAGTGGAATGTTCCGGATTTGACTCTTCAATTTCACCTTGACCAGTTCAAAGTATTTCAAAGTCAGGTTCCGAAGGTTTGGTCAGGGTCAATTTACATCAATTTACTTCTTATCCTCACTGCGTCAACCTTCGTGAGTTGCATTTTTGGCAAGCTCGCTGGTGTCGTCGGTTTTTTTAAGCCTCTCTCATCCCACAGAGTCACTTACTTGTGCATTGATGCTTCCATTCAGTCATGTGACTCGGTCACTCGCTCTTCCAAAGGCCCGGGCCCAGGTGGTTCTTGTAAACTTGTGCGTCTTCCTTTTTGGTTTGGGATCAATCCCGGCTTTCGCTGCTTAATTCGCTCTTCTTTCGGCTCACTTCGTTCGTGCTGAGTTTCGTGCGCGGCACTCAGGGCATCAGGTTGCAAAAAAAGTATAAATCATGTGGAAAGGATTTCACCTCACTGACTCGTGACGCCTGAAGCCTTGGCAGCCTTGTTTCTTCTCCTGCCGTATCTACTCACCATATACCTACATCGATTTCTTCCACATCTTGGCGCCGTGGGCCGACCACGACTCTCTAAAGACCCCAAAAGCCCACGAGCGCAACCAGCGGGTGACGACCAGTGCCTCCTCTTCCATATATGCTCGCAGTTCCTGGAGCAGCTTTTCACTGGGCTTCACCATGGCCAGCTTCCAAAGCGCAGCGCCCGAGCAGGACCAAACACTTCTCGTTGACCCTCAAGAAATGTATGCAAGCAATGTTTCCTGCAAAATGTCCTCGATATTGCTTCCAAGGCAAGCAACACACTATTCATTATCATGATCATCATGGTCTCTGGACTCTGGACTTTGTATGCAGGTAGTCAAAGGCCACAAGTATCCCGAAGACTTGCATAGAAAGAATTTTTTTCCAGTCTACCACGGTCTTCCAGCTCTGAAGAGTTTCCTCATGGCACTTTCAAGTGAACTGCATCGGCAGAAAATATGGAGATAATATCCTGTGCGTCCCATCTTTGACCAGGCCTCCACCCTGGGCCTAAACCATCTGAGTTGCTACAAACCCAAACGATACTGTACCCGTCATGAAACAGCGTACAGTACTTGCATTTTGCACCCTAAAAATGGTGTTGCCGCTGAAAAGGCCATGTGCAAACTGGGCGCTCCTCATGAAATGAGAGAATCCGCATAAGGTTACTTGAACATGGACAAACACATATGACTCACTCTCCAAGTTATCAAAGGGGCCTTTCCATAGCCTTTCCATTGATAGCATGCAAAAGAAAGGTTCCAAATGCTTGGGCATGTGTTCCTATGTCGACTCCTTCTTTGGCCCAGTAGCACAATACCACGCCACGCCTACAGTGGAAGAGAAGGGCACAAAGTATCGGCAGTCCCAGCCTCATGCAAAGTAGCGGTAGGCTCGGCAAAAATGATCATTTCAAACCTGTGAAGCCTGCCTCCTTTGCAAATTGATTAGTGAACGGACCACAAGTCACTATATAGTGACTCACTGGTGAACTAGTGTTCATTGAAGCTTTGAAGCTTGAGCGTGTCGCAAACCTGCTCACAATCCTGTGAACTTTTTGATAGTGCTATGGACAACCGTGGTCGAAGGGCGCAAAGCTCTCGCAACGACATCAGCTGTCACTGCTTTGAATAATCCATTGCTCCACAATTGGTCAGGCGCTCTGCCTACCTTGCTAAAGCATTCTCTTGAACCACCTGCCAAGTCTCTCCACCCTTCGCATCTCCATCTCTCCACCCTTCACTCAGAGTTGGCCACAGAAACTAGCCAAGGCTTGCAAACGAGCTACGCCTGGCGCCCTCGATCGAGAAGGCAAAGGAGAGAACCTGAGCTTCATCGACAACCCAGTTTGCATGTGCCTAGCAGCTATAGCATGAGATAGCATGTGTGGTGGGATTGATCTGCAGCATCAGTTAGCACTTCATACATCTACTACCGGGTGAAATCAAGCAGCTGAGCTTCTCACCGCCACAGGGGCGATGCACAGCAGCAAGAGCGCTGTCTCACATGCGAATGACTCACCAATCACCAAGGTTCACAACTGCATACTGGGTACCACTCTCAAATCTCCTGTTGTAGGACAGGGACATGAAAGGACTGGGAGGGTGGACAATCTTGCCCGCAAGTGGTCATTCGCAACCTGTGATACCCAACAGCTTCGGGTGAAGTCATGGCCGGCCGGCCTGCTTAACATCCACGTGGCGATTCTCTAGGACGTTGCACACGGGCAGACCGAGGTACCTTGTCTCAGGTGAACCATGGACGGAGGGCTTAAGGGCTCATCTTGGTTGGTGGCAAGTCAAAAAAACAACAATTTGGCTAGCAGTACCAAACCACGGCATCAAGAGGCCTTTCACAGAAATCGCTCTAGCAACCCCAATGTCCTGAAATTCATCAGAGTACATCCAAAATCATTCAAATCTCCAGGGCACTATTGGCCAAAAACTCCAGTCTTAGACTCAAAGCAAAGCCTGAAAGAATTCAGTGTGTGTCCTTCCATGCGGAAATTGCAAGATCCCTAGAGCCAATGCAGTCGACTCCGATTTCATGATCTGTGCAACGATAAGGGCAGTCTTGGTAGAAGAAAGGACTATGAGTCACTGAGAGAGCCCGCTTTAGTTCATTCACCTAAACTTGTGGAACGAGCTGACGTATTCCTTGCACATCCTTGCCAATATTTCAACTTAACAAATTTGACCACATAAGGGGTGCTTCTGAGATCTAATGATTGATGCGCACCATGGCCACTCTTCGTTACACAAACAGTTTTTCCTACAAGTCCGGCTTACAAGCACTCTGAAGCTCCAAAGCAGGGTTCACATGCATGGGCCCTCCTGGTTTGAGACAAGACTTCAAGATTGGACAGATTTGGCACAAGAACAAAAAGGTCCTAAATACTGACAATGTTTGTGCTTTGGAAGTCACAATCTAGTGTATGAATGGTGCCATCTCTGAGTGCCAAAGCCCTTCAAAGTAGGTGACCCCTGACAGCAAGCCCGAGATGACCTGGCAGCTTCAACGTCTTGGGACATGCTGGATGTTCTTGGTCTACACATACAAAGAAATCCACCCTGAGAGGCGATTTGGAAGAAGGCAGGGCACATGTATTGATAAACTAGCCTGGCAAAGGCGAACATGCGGATTGACACAATGTTCTGACTCTTGTTCTGGTATCAAGTCTGGTTTGTGCTCTGACACATCATCTATCATAAAGGCTAGGAACTGTTCTGGACTCTGTTAGCCTACATACAAAGAATCGAAACTCAATTCCAGTCAAGGTAGAGGAACGAAAGCGCTAAAAACACAAGGACTTCACACTTCACACATCAAGAATCTGAAATTATCCGCAAGTAGATCCATCAAAACTCTAGCCACCAAGAGGCTGGAATCGCGGTGGAATAACCATGAAAATCTTGGCTGTAGAAGTCGAAGGGTATCCTCAGGTCGAGCTACTTTTTTGGAGCAAAGGGAGTGTTCTTGGGCAAAAAACATCAATGCGTTCTTTTGAAAGAACAACTAATGCAATCGCAAAATCGTGAGGCCGTTAGCCGTTAGACAGGGTTAGGCGTGGTGCTCGCACATAACATATCTGGTGTGATACAAACTATTGATGTCTGACAAACAGTGATGAGGCTGCAGTAAGGTTCGCACATGTCAGAGTTGAAACGCTCCCTTTGGTAGACGGTGTAGTTTATCACGATCCATCCGTAGTACCTGGGAGGGATGGGACATGGTCCATGGTCAAAAGGTTCACGATTCACGATAATTTCAGCTTATTCCAAAACACTTTGTAGTGCAGTGGCAGTGTGTATACATACATTTCTGTCCAAGGTTGACTATCGTCGCTACGGTAGGCAGCACT